TAGAAAAGTAGAAGCCAGCTTCCAGGCTACAGAAAAAACTAAGAGAGGAAACAAACCCTTGGCGCTGAGGGAAAATCTGGAGGCCTGGCATGCTGAGGAGGAAGGATGGCTAAGGAGAGATTGTAATCGGGACTCCAGAGAGGAGTGGGGGTGGGGCAATCTAGATTCAGACCCAAGACAGTCAGGTCTCCCCCTGGGGGTGAGGAAGAGGGCTTACTAACGGAGAGAAAACACCATACCGGGAAGGGCATCCTAGGTCAGAGAAGCCAGATCTCGGGTCAAGGGCAGTAAAAGTTCCAGGATGAAAAGACTTGACATTAGGTGGTCTTTGGTGATTGCTCCTTAGGGAGCAGAGATTCCAGGCCGGGAGGCCATGACAGGAGGAAGCGGAGTCAGGCCATTGAAACCAGCCTCGAAGTTCCACTGAGAAGGAAAGACTCCGGGGTGGGGGGCATCAGATACGGAGGGGTGGGGTGGGCAGTTTGTATATGATTGGGTTGGGTTTTGTTTTTGTTGTTTTTTTTTTTCCTGAAACAATAGCCATCAATTGGGTTTGTCCATGCAGAGGAATCAGAAGCAGAGATTCTCAGAGTGGGAAAGAAGACAGGGATAAAGGAACAGTGAGGTCTTTATGGCGAGGGAGGGGATAGGCCCGGGGCCCAGGTGGCCCAGAGGGGCCCTGACCAGCCTGCGGGATGGACCTGTGCTCCAGCGAGGAGAGGAGCCAGCAGGATGGGTGGGGAGGCCTATTAGCCATCCGTCAGGGTTGGGCCGGAAGTCCAGGGAGTTCCCTCCAGGCCCGATGTTTTCTAGATGAAGATGGAGCTGAAGTCACCTCCTAAAATGAGCAGAGGCGGGCTACAGCGGGGTGAGAGCCAGAGATGGCCCCGGGGAACTGAGAGAGAAGGACAAGAGCCAAGTTTGGCTGGAGCCTGACTTGTGATGTGGGCAACTTGGAATAAACTCGTAAGACATGCATCTCACACACTCCCCTTGGGTGGCCTGGGAGACAAAGCCTGGTTTGCTTACCCCCACCTAGCTGGGTCTCAGTTGCCTGTTTAGTAAAACAAAGCAGGGGTCTGAGGGGTCAGCAGGAGAGTCCTCATTCCACAGCCTTCCTTGGAGGAATAAAACAACATTCTCTGGGAACCCAAGAAAGGGACTGACTGGTGTCAACTTTGACTTAATGTCCCCTGCTAACTTTTGTTCTGATGTTTGTTGTCTGTTGAGTTTTACTGAGGCCCTTGGATGGGCGGTCCTCTAGCTGCAACTCTTTCTACGTTGTCCCTTTTGTCAACTCAGAGAGATCTGCACCTAAATCCCTAAAAACGGTTCAGGTGGCCTCTGAGGGGCCAGTCGGACTGAAGTCTTTCCTGCTAATCTCCCCATCGCACCAGCTAAGAGAAATTTCAGGTCAGCTTGACATCCTTCAGGACCAACTCCCTTCTTAGGCTGCTGTAGTGCTCCACAGCTAAATCTGGGGATGGCTGTGGATGGGGTGTGGCCTCCTCCCAGAATGATGTTGCTTCCACACCATCAAATCCTAAATGGTTTGAGAGGGACCCAAAGACACAGGACCAGACGAAAATTCAACCCTAGGCCTTCTCCTATGGATGGGCTTTTATTTCCTTCCCACTGTGGTACTCTTCCCAGTCACTGCTTCCCCCTGATTCTCCTCATACTCATATTTTTACCGTTACTAAGTATTTTGCCCTCCGAACTTCTCCATCTACCGAAACGAGTGTTTCTATGTAACGCCCCCCCCCATGGCTCTGACCCTACAACAAGGGATAGGATCCCAACAGATACAGCATAGTCAACTGATCAATCAAGTTAAAGAAGACCCGATCTTGGTACAACAAATCATAATCACCCTATCAAGTCAAACCCCCTGGCTGCAGTGATCCTCCAAATCACGGAGGACTAGACTTAGTTAATGACAGCCAAAAAGGGAGGTACCTGTGCCTGCCTAAGGGAAGAAGGGTTGTTTTTATACAAACCAGCATGGCCTAGCAGGAAAATGCTAAACAACTCATAAAAAAAATCAAACCTGGAGAAAAGGTAGACAACACTCTATCTTTGGTCCCTGCCTTTTCAGCTGTCTCACTGAGTTCTCTCAACAAAGACTACAAGCTTGCACCTCCCAGAGGATCACTGTTCTTCATGGCCAAAAGCTACCAGCCCCTATCCCACCTGGAAGGGACTTCAGCCTGCTCCTTCCACCACTGAGGCCATCACCCGCCTCCGGGCTCCCTGAGCCCCCCCCCACTACAACCCTCCTCCCTTCTTCTTTTTACCCTCCCAGGGTTGGGATATATTGTCTAGTAGCCTCACTTCATGAAGACTTGTGTTAGGCTGTACTGAGTAATAGCCCCTAGCCATAAAGAATGGCTCAGTCCTAGCCTGGCTGGTTCCACTCTACCTGCAGAAATGGTATGTCTGGGTATCAAAAGAACACACTCTGTTTCCAGTTTCCAGTCCAACCACAAAAATCACTGTAACACACGCGCGCACACACACACACACACACACACACACACACACACACACACACACGTACATACGTACATACATACGTTCCCCAGCCCCTATAAGCATGTCCAGTCTTCAGCCCTCAGAAAGGTTGAGGCCCCTCCATGTTCCAACCAAGCAATAGCAGCCCGTTGTCTGGCCCCTGCCTCATCTTTCTTACAGTGGTGTCATCTGAAGCAGAGAAAGAGGCGGAGGACAGTGGGTGCCACTGGAAACAGGCTATGGGACCTTGAGATGCAAGAACCTCCTAGTGTTGGCAGAGCAGAACCCAGACAAGACATAGGGGAGGGCTGTGGTGCAGTTGAGTCTGTAGAGTGCTTGCCTGACATGCTTAAAGCCTGGGTTTGGTCCCCAGCACTGCATAAACCTGCTATGATGTGCGCCTGTGATCCCAGCCCTTAGGAGACAAAAGCAGGAGGACCAGAAACTCAATGTCACCTTCAGCTACACCGTGAGATTGAGGCACATGACAGCCTGTGTGTGAAAGAGAGACAGAGACAGAGAAATAAGGGGACATGGCTGGGATGGGGAATAAATGGGACAGAAGTTTAAATTATAAAGGTGGGCTAGGAGGGAACAACCTTGTCATTTACTAACCCCTGTAGACACGGCAAGCAAGTCACCTCCTCTACTCCAATTTCAACCTTAGCCTACTCCATGCCACAGGATCTGTAGACCATGACGCTCTACAGCAAGGGGGAAAGGGCCAAAGAAGCAAAGCAAAATTGCGACACCAGGGGTGGTGACACACAACTGTGATCTCAGCACTAGGAGGCTGAGGTAAGAGAATTTAGAGTTCAGAGGCAGTCTGGGCTACACAGTGAGTTCAAACCTACCTTGGGCTACAATGTGAGGACCCTGTCTCAAACCAGATGGAGCAAAGTGAAGTAAAAGATAAGGCCCAGAGAGGCAGACATCTGGGCCTTAGGTAGTAGAGATCAGACGGTAGGTGACGACACCCCCTGGCTTTTCAGGCTGAGTCACATCTTTCTGAGAGGCTCAGTGATCCCATCCGTAAGTGGGGATGCTTTGAAAATAACACATAGTTTGCCTCCACAAGTTGCCGAGGCAGTCAGACCCCTAAGGAAGTGCGGACTTTCCAGAGACTTATGGACCACAGCCCTCCCCACCCTGGGGCCACAGTTAACATCCTTGGCTCAACTCTGTCATGTACACAGGCCAGCTCAGAAGAGCTATAGGGGTGGGTGAGCCTACAACCCAGGATCCCTATTCAGACACCAAAGTGACTTTGGACTGACAGAGAATGTGACCTGTGGCCTTTTTCCTGGGCCACAATCCCCGGGCTGGGCTGAGCCACTTCCTTCAGAGTCCCAGACCAAACAGAACAAAACCCCTATAGTGAAATTTCAGAGTGGATGATGGGTCGGATTTTAAGACAGAACCCTTCCCCATGTGCAGGCACAGAAGCTCTCAGGTAGAAATACCCCCATGGGTAGAAGAGATCTGGTCTCTCCCGTTAATGTCCTAGGAGAAAGGGACTCCTAACAGCGCCCATTTACAATCAGTGCCTTGGCCTCATGAGTCTGTCAAGTCAGCTGTGCCGCTGTGCCTCATTTGTAATTTTTTTTTTTTTTTGGTTTTTCGAGACAGGGTTTCTCTGTGGCTTTGGAGGCTGTCCTGGCACTCGCTCTGTAGACCAGGCTGGTCTCGAACTCACAGAGATCCGCCTGCCTCTGCCTCCCGAGTGCTGGGACTAAAGGCGTGCGCCACCAACGCCCGGCTTCATTTGTAAATCAAAGCAATTTTTTCAGGTTTTTGATTTTGGGGAGTTGGTTTTGTTTTGTTTCACACAGGAGCTCACGTAGCCCAGGCTTCTCTCAAACTTGCTATGTAACTGAGGCTTGCCTTGACTACTGATCCTTCTGTGTCTGCCTCCCAAAAGTTGGGGTCATAGGCACCAAACTCAACCGAATAAACACTTTGAAAGCAAACAATTAGAGATGTAGTGTGATGTAAAACCAAACAGTTTGGGGTAGAAAGACCTCAAACCAATGATGGATCACTGGATTTTTAAAAAATTATCTCCCTGCCAGTCAGTGGTGGTGCACACTTTTAATCCCATCACTCAGAGGCAGAGGCAGGCTGGTCTTTGTGAGTTCAAGGCCAGCCTGGTCTACAGTCTACAGCGTGAGTTCCAGGACAGCCAAGGCTGTTACACAGAGAAATCCTGTCTTAAAGGGAAAAAAAAGCATCTCCCCAATTCCAACAAATAGCAACCCACCAAGATCTAAGACTATGTTCTGGAACAATCTCCTACAACCATGTTTCTAAATAACACCTCTTGGAATCTTATAACACCGTTTTTGTTTTTAAAAAAGGCCAAGACTGAATCCTTTGAAATATTTTTCTCAGTCATTACAAAAACCAACTCTAAGCAGTCTGAAACAAGCTAAGAATCTCAGAAAAGACACCAAACATGAAGCTACATGAAAAACTTCAGGACTTACAGTTCTCCTGAGCCTGGAGGCTTGAATCTGGAAGAGACAGAAAAAAAAAACCCTGTTGATTTCATTAACGTCAAATCTCAAGAAACAAGAGAAAAGTCGGTTAAGAACTCACAGAGAAGCAATGTGAGCAGGATCGCCTGGTGCATCTTGCTGTCTGAGGCCCACCTCAGCTGCATCCTGAGAGGAAGATTCTCTCAGACTGAGGCTCACAGTTAGTTCTGCCTTTTGGCCATGACTCGGGGGCAGAATTCTCTTCTCCGTCACAGATCAGAAAGCCACTGTGTGAAAAGCAGAAACTACTCTGGCGGCTTCTCTAGGCATCCACAGAGAGACCAACTCTGGTACTTGTCAGGTAATGGTGGCCATAGCTGGAAACCAAGAACAATGAGGTCTGGGCTGGCCTGATATCTCCTCAGGAAATGACTGGCCTTCCGGAGGGACCACGGAATCCAGTGGCTTTGTCTAGAAGAGGAGAGAACAAAAGGCCAGAAGTGACTTTTGCCTCAGAGTTCTTGAGTCCCTTGCCTCATCTGGGTTTGGGAACCCCGCAAGGTGAGGAGTCCTTATTTCCCTCCCCTCGGCTTCTACCCAAAGTGCTTTAGTGGGATACCCAGTGAGGGCTGTCTGTCTTCCCCGTGGGGGTCCCCAAGGGACCTGTGTCCGCACAGAGTAAATCTGGGCCTCCTGTCCTTCCCTAGCTAGCTCTTCTGACAGCTTGCAGTGTTTGTGAGGAGCTGGTGACTCAGTAGAAATAGGGACTCTCCTCCGCCTCCACAGTGGGCTCTAATCACTGACTTGGGCACCATAGAGAGCCCACTTGGGTCATACATACGTGTCTGCATGTATGTGTAGTCCGTACTAGATCACAGGGAGGCTTCTCTCTCCCACCCCAGCTTTTTTTTAAACGTTTATTTGTTTGTGTATGTGGCAGTGGGGTAAAGTACATGAGTGTCACTCTGTGTTTGGGGGGTGGGGTCAGAGGCCAAACTGTAGGAATTCTTTCCTTCCCCCATGCGGGTCCCAGGATCAAACTCAGATCAAACTTAGAGCATCAGACTTGGCAGCTGGCAGCTTTACCCCCTGAGCCAGACTGCCTGCACCCTTTTATTGATGTATCTCCGTGAGATTATGAATATATGTGTCAGAAGAAGGGTGTCTGTGTGTCTGTGTGCACCTGCAGGCCAGAGAGGGTGTCTGTCAGGGTGTCAGGGTCTCCAGAAATGATGCTCTCTTGCTGTTGGGATCTGAACTCCAGTCCTCATGATTGCTCAGCTAGTGTTTTTTGCTGGTTTGTTTTGGTTTTTGGTTTTTGGAGACAGGGTTCCTCTGTCTTGGCACAGGCTCTGTAGACCAGGCTGGCCCGGGGCTTACAGAAATCCGCCTGCCTCTGCCTCCTGAGGGCTGTGCCACCACTGCCTGGCTTTCAGCCAGTGCTCTTAACTTCTGAGTCATCTCTCCAGGCCCACTTCTCCTTTCCCCCTCCCCCCATTTTTTGTAGTCATAGGGATTAAACCCAGAGTTTCCGGAATCCCAAGCATGAACTCTACCATTGAGCTAACATTTCCCGTTCCTTTCCCTCATCCCTTCCTTTCTTCTGATTGGGGGCCTCTGGCTAAACTGCCCAGGCTATGGTTGAACACAGTCCTCCCATCACAGATAAATAACCGTGATTACAGACATGCGGGTGCGGCAGCCTTGCCTCCTGGGGAATGTTCTAGACTAGAAATTGGTTTCTTTCGCTGTGATATTTGTTTTTGTTTGTTTGTTTGTTTGTTTGTTTTTACGAGACAGGGTTTCTCTGTATTGTTTTGGAGGCTATCGGTCCAGCCCAGCCTCGAACTCACAGAGATCCACCTGCCTCTGCCTCCCGAGTGCTGGGATTAAAGGCATGCCCCATCACTGCCCCGGCTTCGCTGTGATATTTGAAACATTGTTACGCTCTCTGGGGGAGAAGCAGGCACTAAGCCTCCATTACCCAGCCCTGCTGACCCCTCTAGCTTGGAATCGCATCACTTCCTTCCCTGCCCCAGGCTTTGGTTGCTGAAATGTAAAGTTCCCAGAATGCCTTTCCCATTGCTGTTTGCCCGCTGAAGCATCCCTTCCTCTCCTGTCTGCTGACTAATTGTTACTTCCTCCTCCGTGGCCCTCCCTTCACCTCCCTCATCTTCTTCAAGCCAGGCCCTCCCTACGCTTGTAGCAACAGCCTGTTCGCCTCAAGTAGACTGACGCCTCCAATCTTGCAGGGAAAGGGATACGTACTTAGTAGAAGCATAGGTTGGATTAAAGAGATGGCTCAGAAGTTAAGAGCATTTCTGTGCTTTTGGAGAACCAGAGTTTGGTTCCCAGCACCCAGATCAGATAGCTCATCACTGTGTGAAACTCTAACCACAGGGGAGCCAAAGCCTACTTTTGGCCTCTGAGGACACACACACACCGTAGACATTCATATAGACATATAATATACATAAATAAAAAATTTAATAAGCTGCCGAGAGTGGTGTTGCACGCCTTCAATCCCAGCCCTCAGGAGGCAGAGGCAGGCAGATCTCTGAATTCAAGGCCAGCCTGATCTACAGAGCAAGTTCCAGGACAGCCAGGGCTACACAGAGAGACCCTGTCTTGGGAAAAAAAGATAACAATAAATTATAAAGGCATTAGTTAGAGACTAGAGCTGCAGCTCAGCTGGTCGCATGCATGCCTGGCATTCAAGGAGGCCAGGGTTCAGCATCACATAAATCAGGTGAGGGGTGATATTTGTGATCCCACTTGGGAGATGGTAGCAAAGGATCAGAGGCTAAAGATCATTCTCAGCTACATAGTGAGTTTAAGGACAGGCTGGACTTCAGAAAACCCTGTCTCAAAACCAACGAACAGAAACACATGAGTCAGGTATGGTGGCACACACCTTTAATTCCAGGATTCTGGGGGCAGAAGCACACAGACAGATCTCAATGAGTTGCCAAAACAATACAGAAAACTAACAAAAAAATCCCAAGGAGTATTAGTCTGATGTTTGTCTGATAGTGATAGGAATTACTGTATTGTCAGAATTGGATTATTTCTGCTTTGATGGTGTCTTCTCCTTCCTTCCTTCCTCCCTCCCTCCTTCCCTCCCTTCCTCCTTCCCTTCCTCCCTCTCTCTCTCCCTTCTTTCTTTCTCTGTTTTAGGAACAGGATCTCATATTGGCTGGCCTTGAACTCAGTATATGGAGAACTCCTTGCTTCCTAACCCTGCTGCTTGCATCTAGCTTGTGGCAGCCGGCTGCAAGTTGTTTCTGATACACCACCCCACCCTTTAGGACATCCAGGGGTCACCAAAGACATTATTCAGTGAGGACTGGCCTTCTGTATCTCAAGGTAAGAGCCAAAAAGTGGTGATTCCCATCTAGAAAATCATTCCTGGCTCTGATCTGTTAGATAGATATTTAGATAGATAGATAGATAGATAGATAGATAGATAGATAGATAGATAGATAGCCCTGAACATGGAGCCCCGCCCCTCCCTCGCCTCACCCCTCCCTCCCTCCTTTCTTCTTTTCCCTGTCTCCTTTCCTGCCCTCTCTTTCTGTTTGTCTGTTGCTGGGGTCTTTTGTTTTTATTATTTTGAGGCATGTCCTCAATCTCATTCAGGATCTCTCTATTATGTAGCCCTGGCTGTCCTGGAGCTCCCTATGTAGACCACACTGGCCTCAAATTCACAGAGATCCACCTGCCTCTGCCTCCCGGGTGCTGGGATTAAAGTTATGCATCACCATGACCACCTGAGGCCACATTAAAAAAAAAAAACAATAAATAGAAACTGCAGAGAGGGCTCAGAGGTTCGGAACCCTTGCTGCTCTTGGAGGGGGCCTGAGTTTGATTCCCAGAGGCTACCTAGGGGTTCACACCTGGGAGCTGACACCCGCGTTGACCTCTGTGGTCACCAGACATGGGGGGTACACACATACATACAGCCAGGAAAGATAAACACATTAAAAGTAAAACAAATTAAAAATGATAAATTAAGGGCCAGAGAGATAGCCAGTGGGTAGAGGTACTTGCCACCAAGCTTCATAACCTGAGTTTGAGTACCGAGATCCACGCAACAGAAGGAAAGAATTGACTCCCACAAGCTGTCCCCTGAACTCCACACTAGCACTGTGACATGCATGTTCCCCCCCCCACAATAAATAAAACTGAAAATGTATTGATTGATCAGGTTGCTCTTTATTTGTGTGTGGTCTTTTTCCATCTTCTCCTTTCCTTCCCCTTCTTCTCAGTGAAATCCTTGATGTGATTCAGGCAGTGGTGGTGCACGCCCAGTGCTTGGGAGGCAGAGGCAGGCAGATCTCTGTGAGTTCGAGACCAGCCTGGTCTACACAGCGAGTTCCAGGACAGGCTCCAAAGCCACAGAGAAACCCTGTCTCGAAAAACAACAACAACAACAGAAAAAACTACAACAACAAAATCCTTGATGGGAAGATGGACAGGGAAGGTTGTCTACAACTATTATCTCCTTGGTAACAGATCAAAGGTCTGACTCCTACACAGAATGAGTGCCCTCAATGTGTCAAAGTGTCAGTCATACAGGACCAGATTCCTGAAGGACCCTGTGGGGACAACAGACCTTGGCCAGAGACCCATTTCCCCATCAGCCTGGGACCAGGCAGCTGTAAGACAATGTTTACTAAAAACATGTTTACTAAAAACAATACAATGCCCAGGGCAATAAGTTCCTGAAAAGGGCTTGCCCACTAGAGCGCCATGACCTCGACCTTTTCCAAAGACTAACCGCCTCTTCTGACCCACCCAACACAGTCTCTGGTGTCAGGGCAGAACCAGGCAGGGGTAAGACGAGCAGGAGCTTTTCTGGAGGAAAGCCTTTCTTGGGAAGTTTTCTTGAGCCTTCTTGAGGAGCCTTCTGGTCTCTCTGTCATCAATCCCAATACCCTCGCCACATTCTCGGATACAGGTTGCACAGTGGGTGCAGCAATTGGAGGTCTCACCGACATGTGAAGGTGAGGTAAATGGATGGGGTCATACCTTTTGCTGGCCAGGGACAGATGGGGGAAAATAGGAAAAGAAACGATGGGAAATAGTCCCTGGAAGTTTAAATTACAGTATCAAGTAAAAAAGTTACTTGAAGAACAGGGGACAACAATCAAGGCTAAAACCATGGAAGGCTTTTTAAAATGGATTGAATGAGCGAGTCCATGGTTCATTACTGGGGGAAGCTTAAATGTCCAAGATTGGGAGGATGTTTGCTAGGATCTTCAGAGAACCTGGTGTTGGTGGCACACTCCTTTAATTCCAACACTCCGGAGGCAGAGGTAGGTAGGATCAAGGCCATCCTGGTCTATAGATCGAGTTCCAGTACAGCCTCCAAAAGGATAGAAACCCAGTCTCAAAAAAAAAGAAAAGAAAGAACAAAAAAAAAAAGGTAAAATAAGAAAAAAAATCTTCAGCCCTTTTTGTCTGATCCACTTGAGGTCAGGAAAGTAAAGGGGAACTGAGATATCTAAAAGGCTGGCCAGTAAGTAAGGTTATGAGGATGCATTAAAAAGGGGTACCAAGCTAGGGGTACCAGATTAAATCTCCAGGCCTCTGTCTGACAAAGGTCAGGAAAGAAAGAGGAACCTGATAGATCGCCCTCAGTTGGAAGGTGGATTGGATTAAATCTCCAGGCCTTCGCCTGACAAAGGTCGGGAAAGAGGGGAACCTGAGAGATTGCCCTCAGTTGGAGGGTGGATTGTTTAAATCTTAAGGCTTTTGCCTGAGGGAACATCCTCAGTTGGAGCATGGATTGAAAATGGGTGAAAAACTGGGCGTTGATGGCACATGCCTTTAATCCCAGCGTGCCTTTAATCCCAGCACTAGGGAGGCACAGGCAGGCTGATCTCTTGAGTTCAAGGCTAGCCTGGTCTACAGAGCGAGTTCCAGGACAGCCTCCAAACAATACAGAGAAACCCTGTCTCGAAAAAAAAAAATATGGGTGAATCAAAAAAATTGGTAACAGTAAACGAGGTACTAGTATTAAGTAAAGAAAAAGGAAAAGACAAAGGTATATGGAATGGAAAAATTTTGTTTGCATTTAAGTTCTATTTTGTGAGTCATCTCTAAAAACTTTTGGCCAAAGGCCTGGCCTCTCCACCTTGCATCTACAGAGTTACAAGGAGTAGGTACAGCTGTACCCCCTGACTGTAGCTCAAATGGAGGAATGATGAGGGGCATACAGGACTTTTTAACCTTTTTAGTTCAAGGATTGGCTGGAGTTGTTCTTTTACATAGATTTCAATTAAGGAAGTTTTATTTCAACAGACTAATCATGACCTAGGGAAAAAGGATGACCCAAAGATGCATGTATGTTCTGAATGTATGCTGTGGCCACACCGGTATATATGAAATGTGATTGTGAATGCATGAGTGTGAACTGCTTATATGATTAAAAGGATACTTAAATCCCTTCAAAAATAGTTAAAAAGCTACCTAAATTGCTTTAGATATAGCCAAAAGGAACATCCAGCCAGTCGGTTATTGTCTTAACAGAAAAGTTAAGATGCAAATGAGGCCTTGTCAGCTAGTGAGAGCTCTACCAGTTAGACTGGGAAATACTGCTCACAGACTTCAAATAATTTTCAAAAGTTATTTGGGACACAGTATAGTTTACAATCTTTGAGTGATTTTTCAGAAGTTTTTGGGAAATGCCTAATGGATATGTCCTTTTTAAAGAGCATCTACTAATAACCTAGAGAGGGATCCCAATTCACCTAGATAGTTAACTAAGGAGGGTAGACAAATCCTTCTACTGTTATGATCCAGCTTCAACAGTTCAAACAAAATTTAGAAAATAAAAAAGGGGGAGTAATGTCCCCAGTCCCCACATGACTCATCAAATAATACATTCCTCATTTAAAAAATTTTTAAATGTGCCCAGCACTCGGGAGGCAGAGGCAGGTGGATCTCTGTGAGTTCGAGGCCAGGTTGGACCGAGAGCCTCCAAAACAATACAGAGAAACCCTGTCTCATAAAACCAAAAAAAAAAAAATTTAAATGTGAATGCCAGTGAGCAATCTGCTTCAGACAGATTCTGTCATGATGGAACTTGAGCAACTATTGCTCAAGTCAAATGGAGACATCCATGCACTAGACAGTAGAGAAGATCCTAATTTGGGGTCGAGGGCATGTTTGTGTTTTCTTGCAGGAAAAGAATAAAGCTTCAGCAGCTGTCAGAACATTTAGTGAGATGCATGGAGCAGAGAAAAACTGGACCTGAGACCATGGGAGCCTACCTAAGCCAGTTTGAGTGAGATCTCCTAAATCAGTGTTCCTGACCCTTGATGTCATCGAATCTACAGCCCAAAAAAGAAAGAAAACAGTCAGTTCGAGATTTCCAGTTTCTCAACAGGCCTGCTGCATCAACCTCCCATACCCATGAGTTTTCATCCTGAAGCCAACAGAGAACTGGAAGATTAACGGTCTGCCCTTGACATACCTTGAAACAATAGAATTCATTTTGCCAGTTTTTCCCTTTGGGGAAAAAAGGATCTACTTAAAACATTTGGACATTGGTATGGACTGTGATGAGTGGCAAAAGCCCCATTTCAGTATTTGAACAGGACATGGTCACTTGAAATATCAGCCTTGGTGGTTCCTGTTTCTGGAATCGCGCGTATGACAGTGTATTTATCTGGAGAAATGCAACTTGTCCTAATGCGACAAAAAGGAGACTTTGGCTCAAGTCTCATATTCAGCTGAGGCTGCTGACGTTAAATCAACAAACTGCATCACCACAGGAACAAATTGGTGCTCTGTGGATAGTGCAACAAGCCTCTTGTTCATATTTTTTATAATGCTACATGTGTAACATCAATGATTGTACCTAACGTATCTGTGCAAGTGCACTTTCTAAATGCTTTCCTGAGTAGATCTTGGAACGACTGTAAACTTTATCACTGTTTTGACCATCAAATTATAACTGTAAATCACATACGGGTTACCCTTGTAACAGAAGAAGGCTGGTAGAATGTTATGGCCCAGATCTGGGCATGGGTACGGTGATGGAGAGGCGCTATGTCAATGGGGGTCCTGGAAATGGTGGCAGTGGCGGTAGTCATTCTGGCTTTATGCCGAGCTCAAACGTGCCTTGTTCCAGAGGCAAGAGATCCGTCACCAAGTATTGCTCAGCTTAGCCCATGGCAATCCCGGTAGCCATGAAGTCTGGTTACAGATGATTTAAGGATGAGGTTCTTCGATGACAGGCAACCTGTGGGGAAGAGACCTCCTGCCTAAGACAGGGGTCGCCAGGTCCCCAACGGACAGACAAGGGAGGGTGACCCTACTTGACCTAAGCCAGGAGTGCCTCATCAGACAATAAAAAAAAGGGGGAATTGTGGGGACACCAGACCTTGAGCAGAGACCCACTTCTCCATCAGCCTGGGACCAGGCAGCTGTAAGACAATGTTTACTAAAAACATGTTTACTAAAAACAATACAATGCCCAGGGCAATAAGTTCCTGAAAAGGGCTTGCCCACTAGAGTGCCATGACCTCGACCTTTCCCAAAGACTAACCGCCTCTTCTGACCCACCCAACACAGTCTCTGGTGTCAGGGCAGAACCAGCCAGGGGTAAGACAGGGAGCAGAAGCTTTTCTGGAGGAAAGCCTTTCTTGGGAAGTTTTCTTGAGCTTTCTTGAGGAGCCTTCTGGTCTCTCTGTCATCAATCCCAATACCCTCGCCACATTCTCGGATACAGGCTGCACAGTGGGCACAGCAGGACCCTGTGTCTCTCACCTGTTCCTCCTTCCCCCTCCCTCCCCAAAGTCACCTGAAGAAGTACAAATGGTTGTCTCCATGGGTTGTACTCCTGCCTGAAAGTGACATAGGCCCATGTCACACCTAGAAAGCTGCCCACTGGCCTACACTTCTGGAAATAGCCTTTAAGCAGCTGCAGTAGGCTGGAGGGCAGGGGGAGAGGGGAGGACGTGGCAGACCCCTTCCTCAGATGCCAGGCCAGGCAGGCTATAGTGACAACAAGCATGAGTCATAGCCATGCTCCCCTCACCCTCGCCCACCTGTTTCCAAGGCTCTGAGGCACCTTGGAAAGTGGGCAGAAGACAAATCCCCCATCTGCTGGCGTCAGACTCACCCTGGCCATCGTATATACCTGCAGGAGTGCGCAGGCCAGAGAGTTCTAGTTTCTTCTCTGGGGTTTTGGAACTTAATGCTTTGAGCTCAACCCGAACCTACAATGAACTAATATGGCTATCTACCCATTGCTCGGATTCATCAGGAAGTTCCTATAAGAACCGGCATTCGGAAGCCACTTAACCCACAGAGCACGCTGTCAGCTGCAAACTGGAAGCTGCAGAAGGGTTTCAGGAGTCGAAATCAGATAGGTGTGAGTCCACACGGCTCTCATTCAATGCCCCAAAGAAGGCAGAGAAAGTGGGCAAGCAGAACTGAGCAATAAAAACGGATACATTTTTAAGATGGTAAAATTGCCCCTGTAGGAAACTGTGGACATTGATAAAGAACAGGTGCTGTGTGACCCAAAAGAAGGAGGGGTTATCTGTGCTTGGTTAAAATGTCCAGGAGGCAGCCATCTGTGATGAAGGAGGGGTTATCTGTGCTTGGTTAAAATGTCCAGGAGGCAGCCATCTGCTAACCTCTGCAAAAGCACCTGGAGGGCTCAGGCACAAGGCAATTACATTGCACATTCTGGCAGTCAGAGCTGGGGGGCGGGGAGCAAAGGTCACCTTCAGGGTGAGCACTGCTTCCTAACGGTACAATAATAGTATACAATAATAGTATCGGTAGCTGTGGGTGTTCCTCCTGGGAGGCTCTTCTCACCCTTGAGAGTTTACCTCGAGTTCTGGGGGCACTTTACTCAAAGAGAGGGGGACTGGAGAGATGGTTCAGCCGTTAAGATCATTTGCTCTTGCAGAGAATCCGGCTTCAGTTGCCTACACCTACATGGAGGCTCACAACTGTCTGTAACTCCAGTTCCTGGGGACCCAATGCCCTCCATGGCACGTGTTACACACACCTACATACAGGCAAATAAGTAAATAGTCATACACATTTAAAAAAAGAGAGAGGAAGAAAACAGCCAGCTATGTGGTTGCACGTATTCTTATAATCCCAGTATTCTGGAGGAAGGTATTTTTTTGTTGT